CGAGTTAGAACTCTGTTAATAGAGTTGTTAGAACCGAAAATTCGGTTAATGACCAAGCTGATATGTTAATAGAGTTGTTAGAACCGAAAATTCGGTTAATGACCAAGCTGATATTCTGTTGTTGAAGAATCCTTTCAGATTTGATCTTCTGAACCGAAAATTCGGTTAATGACCAAGCTGATATTCTGTTGTTGAAGAATCCTTTCAGATTTGATCTTCTGAACTTGATTCAAAAATCCTATCTCCAAGGATTTTACTACCACTGCTGCTGTTGAATCGTCGAACCTGAGTGGTTGAGATCCTGAAGAACTAACTTGCTGCTAACTCTTTCGTTCCCAGAAGCCAGCCTCCTCCCTTTTTTTAACTCAGTTGAGTTTGTTGAGCTTTTATAGGTGGATAAGAGGTTGTAACTGCCCTCTAAATCCGCTCCTGAGTGGGCGTGATTTCCTCAGATCGTGGGAAAATAGAACTGTTCGACTCATATTCGAACGAGTCAAATGCCCAATCTGGCGTTCAGAACCCAACGTCGCCTCTTAGAATTGAGACGCGGGGTTGGGTGTTGGCTGAACATCATTGAACGCGAGGGTCGCTCATGTTTTGGTTTGTTGTAGTTTAGGAACGCGGGGGTCGGTGTTGGTTGAACCCCTACGAACGCGAGGGTCGCTCACGTTTAGCTTGTGCTTAGAAACGCGGGGGTCGGTGTTGGTTGAACCCCTACGAACACGAGGGTTGCTCACGTTTAGCTTGTGCTTGGAAACGCGGGGGTCACCTGCACTTCCAGAATTGTAACGCGGGGATGACATCCGCGTTTTAGAAGGAGCTAGTTAACTTGTAACTTCTTCTATAAAGCGTTGCAAGGACCGTTGTTCAGTAATCCTAGCTTTAGCTATAGTGGAGTGTGAAAGTCGTCAAATTGTAACCTTCACTGTAGATTATGAAGACTGCTGAATAGAGTTTTCATCAGTTGTCGGAAGTGTCGTTGAATTGTAACTCTTTTTGATCTATGTGAAAAGTCCTCGATTTGCAGCTTTCGATTGTCGGCGCGAAAGCTATTTGATTGTAGCTTTCGTTGTTGGAACTTGACGGGAATCAACATCCATAGTGTTTTTAGATGAATATTTGCCCACAGCTCTCTACCAAGCAACTCACCAACTATGTCCAACCTTTTATTTCTGAAATCGTTACACTGCTCATCAGCATCTCTAATAGTTGCTTATATAATATTAGTCATGTTGTTGTCGCAACCATCAAGATCAATCATCTCAGAAATGAGGTCGTGTTTGTAGCGATTGTAGAATTACGAATACAGTGATTAGAAAGTCGTCTGATTGTGACTTCCATTGTCGGAGCTTGATAGGGATCAGCTATCCATTGTGATTTTTAGACAGCCTACAGAACCCCCTCCAAAGTTTTCGAAAGTTCGCGGTTGACTGGGACGAATTTTCGGAATACTTTGGATCCCAAAATTTAGTGGATTGATTGCTCACTCCGTCTGATCGAGCCACATGATTTCAATGTTGTTAATTGTAATCTATCTGTACTTTTCCAATAGACTCCCAAGTGGAGTCGTTTGTTTCTTCTCGGCTTTGGTCGCCTTGATGATTGCTGTTAGCTCTTCTTTTATTCATCTGGGGGCTGTGTCGTAGCCTTGGTAGTCAAGAAGCTTCTATCATAGCGGTCCAAATACAGAGATAATTTCTACATTTGAGAGTTGGAACGCGTGGGTGAGCTCAGCGTTGGGAAATTCGAACGCGTGATTGAGCCTCGCGTTTGGAAGCCCAAACAACTCGAACGCTAGGGTCGAGTTTGGGCGGGATTCTGGCCTCGAATCCAGTCCGTTACGATTTGACAGCTCACAGCTGTCTATAAATAGACCGCCAGAGGTCAAATCAAGAGTCATTCGACTCTTCTTGAAATTCCAACGAAAAATTTTCGTTCTCATCTCCGGCGAAAACTGTTCTTCTCCTCCGATTGGATTCTATGGCACCCAAGAAGTCAATTGCTCCTCGTCCTTCCAGGCGCTGCTGCTGCTCAGGCGAACGTGCCGCCCTAACTTCCTCTGATCGGCGGTAAGTACGACCTTCGTGGTCGTTAAACTTGCTTCGGCAAGTTCTGGTCTTTAGATCAACGAGGAAACTCATTTCAATAACGCGGGGCTTGACTCCGTCGTTTGGTATTTTTGACGAGGGGTTTGATCTCCGCGTTTCAGATTTTTAACGCGAGGGTCGACCTACGCGTCTGAATTTTCTGACGCGAGGTTCGACCTTCGCGTCTGAGATTTTTGACGCGAGGGTCGACCTACGCGTCTAAGCTTATCTGACGCAATGGTCGACCTACGCGTCTGAGCTTATCTGACGTGGGAATCGACCTTCGCGTCTGAGCTTATCCGACGCGGGAATCGACCTTCGCGTCTGAGCTTATCCGACGCGGGAATCGACCTTCACGTCTGAGCTTATCTGACGCGGGAATCGACCTTCGCGTCTGAGTTTTGTTTTTGCCTTGTCTAAATTTTTCTTTATTTTGCAGTGCGCCACACCAGTGAACCTCTTCTTTTTCGTCACCATTTTGGGCATGAAGGTGGTGCGGACATGAACATGACCTTCAGTTCGTGTTTAGAACTCCCCGTTTTTTGAATTAGGGAAAAAAGTCGCGTAGAACTGATCACCCAAGCTTCTCCTGAGACTCTTAGGACATTGGTTACGGATGCTCGACTTGAAAACCCAAGCCGTAAGCTGATAGTCAAACCTGGATACCTCTTCGGGGACTTTGTTGACTTCGACGCAAACGCTGCTTATGATGGGGACTATAAGTGGCTGCGGAAAGTTGGGGACGGAAACCTTTTCTTGCCCAATATGGAGAGGATGTTCCCCATATCTTATTTCCAGTGTGCTTCTATCCCACGGCGTATGGATTGGCCTCTGGTTAAGGATCAGGATGGGGTCACTCTTGGCACTCTAACTTTCCACGGGGTCCGCACAGTTGGTTATAACCGTCAGGTGGCAGCTTTGCGGCCGGGTTTATTCGCTAAGGAGTATCCCCTTGGCAAAGTGGCCAGTCCGTCAAATACCTTTGTCAAGAGGTTTGTGGAGAAGAAAGGAGAGTTTCCCGCGCAAGGATTTAGAACTCCTGGCTGGGTTCATTCTCCGGTGACAGGGTGGTGGACTCGGATGACCAAGTTTGTTTTGGATGAATTGGAAGTACCTCTTGCTCGAGCTGGATTGCTGGTTCCTGTGCGGGCTACTAAGTTCGGAATTATCCAGAGCCACTTTCACTTCTTTTCCATACTGGAGAAGTATAATCCTGAGACTTGCACTTTCTTCACCCCTGTGGCGGAGTTAGGCTTTGCTCTTCACGAGATGCACGAAGTCTCGGGTCTCATTCTTGGGGATTTGCCCTACGAAGAATTTGTTCCGGGATCCGCGGAACTTAAAATTTTGAAGAAGACCAACCCCGAAATGTACTCCACTTTTTGGGAAGTCATGTGTCACTTCCACATTTGCATGCAGCTGATGGGGGCCCGAGGAAGCGGCGTTAAACAAGTGTCTTGGGCGGAATATTTATTCCAGAATTTGACCACTAAAGGAGCCTCAGTGATCCGATTGCCTGCAAGTACTTTGGAGGAGGTTCAAGCTCGAATTGACGATGCTACCTCCCACTACACCAACGAGGCCAAGGAAGATGTTTTCCCGGCTCATACGGAGTTTGAGAGTTTCCAATATCAAGCTCTGATTCGAATTTTCGACACAGCGTTGTTGGTTGGATTCTTGATGCTGTGGCTCAAACGTTGTGTCGTTCCTACTAGGCCGATCGATGCCCTTGCTATTGAGGTGGTCTACCCAGCTGTCCTTTTGGCACATGGGAGACCTATGAGCCTCCTCAACGCTATGGTGGGTTGTTTGCAGCATGGACTGTGGGAGTTGGCCTCGGACTTCGTTGATATTTCAGAGGCAGAGTCTAAGGGTCACAAGACTTTCAAAACTCCCAATCCCAAGGTGCCAATGCCATATACCTATCTGATAGCTTGGTACGTGCTTCACTGTCCTCCTTTGATGAGTGCAGCTTCTCCCCCGGAAGACTCATTCATCCCATTTGTGCAACGACTAGAGTCTGCAAAATGGGAAGGGGGGTACATGGTTAAAATTCGCCAAATTTTGGCGCGAGACACCCACTTCCATATCTTCGGAGCCGAATATCAGGACGTAGCGGGTTCTAATGGATTCACTCAGCTGAGTGGGGGTGTTTTCCACTGGCTTCTCTCTATCAGGCCAGGCTACTTGATTTTCTGGCAGGGCGTCAACTGTTTCATCGAGCCCTACCAACCCTATAGGTTTGCTCGTCAATTTGGGTATGATCAGTTATACGTCGGGAACCCTTGTCCTCAACTCTCAGTTATAGGCAATTTGTATGAAGGAGCCAGGGCTTGGTACTATTTTGTAGCAGGTTGTACCAGAGCCATCTTCAGACTTCCCCATAAAACACCCAACTCCTACACTTCCATAAGCTTCTGTAACTGGTATTTCGCCGCTTCCCAGACTCCCAATTATAACTTAAATACATCTTGCCTGAAAGACATCAGGCATATGTATGCTTCAAGAAAGGGGTCGAAGACATCTCGCTTGAGAAGGATCGACGAGTTCCTATCCATTGAAAACCAGCCTGGTGGGTAGGAAGAGGAACAGACAGCTGAGCCTGCTCCAAGGGAAGAGCAACGAGTGGTTGATCCTCCCACAACAAGAGCAGCGGGAAAAAGAAAACTTTCTGCAGATGAAGCCAGTAAGTATGATAAGCAGATCCGTCGGAAACTGCTGGTTGATTCTCCCCCCAAAGGCCAACCAAAATCCAAGTTGATGGCTGATGCCATCAAAGCTGCTGAAGATGAAGAACAACAGGAATCCTCTGTTGCAGGCCTGCCACGTAAAACTGGGCTTCGTTCTCATGGCCCAGCCCTATCGAGTGACGCTTCTTCTTATCATCCCCCCCAAGATGAAGAGGATGAGTTAATGGCTGCAGATGCAGAATCTGCTCCGGTGATGGACCTTCCTAAGTCTCCTGCATTAGAACCAGGGGGTCTTGAAGAGAATCCATCCCCTTCTCCTTCAGCCTTAATGTCACAAGCTGGTGATTTAATTCCTAGTCCTATAACGGGACTTATGAATAAACCAGCTGCTGGAACAGATCTTCTGAAACCTTCAGCGGCTCAGGATGATGAGGAGAGAGTTGATTATGAAGGCTCATCGATTGGTGGTGCAGCTGACGAAGATAGAGACGATGAGGATGCTGACGTTGGCAACATGCCGGATGATGGTGAAGATGATGAAGAGCATGACTCCATAGATGACATCACTACTTTTGATGATGCTCCCAAGGTCCCATCCGACAAAGCATCTGGTTATACTCCTTTTTATCTCACCGGTAAGCTTTGTTTGTTTCGACTTCTTCCACATGCTTTTTCCGTGTTCCGACCATTTTTCCGTGCAGGTTCACCTACTCCTGGGACTACTTCTGCTGCTCCTTTAGAGCAAGCACCTGCGCCGGCACCGACTCCTTTGCCAGAGCAACATTTACCTGGCTCATCTACGGCAACTGTTTCACCGGCTACAGTTGTGACTCCTCCTTTGGAACAACAGCTCGTGCCGGTGTCAGCTCCTGCGCAAGAGCAGCCTCTACCTGCCTCATCTACTGTAGCCGTTTCGCCTACTGCATTACTGAAGATCTCACTTACTTCAACAGAGGCACGGCCAACCACATCTCAGGCAAGGGCGATGATGGCTTTGACCTCAAGCCCCTCACAATTGAATGTTTCTACCGCTTCTGCAGCTTCAGCGCCAGGATCCCCTGCACCAATTTCGATGGCTAGAGGGGCGTCTTCGGCTGTGGTTTCCAGTCTCGCTGACACACCTGAATTTCTTCAGATCTCTCTGGTGTATCTAAATAGCCTCGCGAAGACGGTGGTTGAATACATGGTGAATGGCCGGGGAACTTTAAATTCCTTTCGACCTCTTCTGGAGGCAGGCCTGAACGGAGTTAGGAGTGTGGGAAACACTCAGTGGTTCGAGCGCTGTTCAGAAATTATTCTTCGTTTTGAAGAGCAATTATAGCGTTTCGAGACATTGGGCCACAAAGAGCTTCAGCCGCAAATTATGTCCACTTTGGCTGGTCTTCAGGTCGCCGAAGTAGCTCGCCGAGAAGCGATAGAACGGGACTTAGCTGAGAAGGAGCGTCAGATCGCGGAGCTTCGTGAGCGTAACATTCGGAAGCGAGAAGAGTTAGAACGCTCAACTGCTCCTATGAATTCGCTTCGGGACAGACTTGTTGAAGCTGAAGCCGAAGTCCTACGATTGAAGGCTGAACTCTCCCGTGAAGAAAACATTGTCAATATCCTCAGTACCTAGAATGCAAACGGTACTTTGGAATATCATTCACAGGCCCAAGCCCTAGTACAGGCCAAGAATGAAGCGGCGGCCATCACCATACCCAGTGAGGATGAACTCCGGGCGAAGGCTGAAGCCATGGTGCGAGCTACTCACGAGGAGGAGTTAGCTAAAGTTAAGGCTCAACTTATATCTTTTGATCTAATGCGTGAGTGAATAGGGTTTTTGTAATGTTCTTTTGACAAGAACAAGTTTGTCTTGTATCACTTTCTTTTGGTTATTGAATAAAAAGTGATATTAACTTCTCATTGTTTCTTGCATTTATCATGTTTTGATTTTGAATACAAGTCACGAGAAATGCCTGAGATGTATTCATGACTTAGAATACATCTCCACGATGATTTTGGTGCAGAAAACTCTCTTTATTATCATTTAAAACAACTCTAGAAAGTTTCCAACTGCTGAGGATAAAAATTTTATTATTTTCCAGTAATGGGGATGACCGATAGAATTCTTCCTGTGTTATTTTTGCTTTGAACAATGAAAGAAGTCTATAAATGCCAGAGGTGTAGTTTCAACTTGGCAGGGGGAATATTGCGATCAGGGCAATTTTGAGGATTTATCGCTCTATTGATGAGAATCGATAAGTTGACTTTGTCAGAGGTGTGATTTTAACGTGACATGAGAAATATTATGATCGGAGCAATTTTGAAGACTTATCGTTCTATTGACGAGAATCGATAAGTTGATTTTGTCAGAGGTGTAATTTTAACGTGACAGCTAAAATATTACGATCAGGGCAATTTTGAGGACTTATCGTTCTATTGACGAGAATCGATAAGTTGATTTTGTCAGAGGTGTAATTTTTGATGAGAATTTAGATTCTGCTAATGAGATATAGAGGCTTTGACTAACTCTCTGTTAAGAGGGCTCGTGACTTTGAGGGATAAGTGTTGTGTTTGATGACACAAATGTAGATTCTGACTTATCGTTCTATTGACGAGAATCGATAAGTTAATTTTGTCAGAGGTGTAATTTTAACGTGACAGCTGAAATATTACGATCAGGGCAATTTTGAGGACTTATCGTTCTATTGACGAGAATCGATAAGTTGATTTTGGGGTGCAGTATTAGCCTGATGAGAATTTAGATTCTGCTAATGAGATATAGAGGCTTTGACTAACTCTCTGTTAAGAGGGCTCGTGACTTTGAGGGATAAGTGTTGTGTTTGATGACACAAATGTAGATTCTTCATTTAGAAGAAGTATAACGCCGAAGTGACCTTTGCGTTTGGGGTTCAGAACGCGAGGTTCAAGCCTTCATAACGCTGGTCTGAGCCTTGCGCTTGGGATTTAGAACGCGGTTGTGAACTTCGCATTTCGAAGATGGTTGGGATTCACTCTTAGAATCCCGTGCCATCTAAACAGCTTGACGGCTATTATAAATAGACCTGAGTGGTCACGTCAAGAGTCATTTGACTCTCTACAATTTCGGCTATTTCCAAGAACGAGAACTCTAGTTTGATTTTGGTGAGATTTCGACGAACTCCTCGTTCAAAATAGTTTCCTCCGATCAACTGCATCAATGGTGCCTTGGAGAACGAGCTCAAACTCTAAGAAAGTCGCTGGAGTGACCTCCGAGATGCCGTCTGCTGAGGACGCCGGCGGTGTCCTTGTCCATGCGGGAACTTTGCCGTCGACATCGCCGCCACAGGGGCCTCCCTGTCATGGTGAGTGCTGACCGAAATAACTTGCCTTGGCAAGTTCTTTGACAACCCTAGATGGGTTCTTGATAACGAGGAAGATGACTCGTTTTAGCTCAATGAAAACGCGGGGTTGGGATCCCATATGGGTCTCGACCCTCGCGTTCAAATTTTTCAACACGAGATTGACTCTCGCGTTTGAGACTTCTGACGCGAGGTTCGACCTTCGCGTTGGAGACTTTGACAGGAGACTTTAACCCTTTGTGTTTCAGACTCTGTCTTTATGTTGATAGTTCGCTTCTAGCCGCTAACCTCTGCTTTTGATTGTACAGTGCTTCTCCCAAACGTGCCGCTTTCACAAGAGCATCATTTTGGATATATCGGTGGACCTAACACGAATGAACCGTTCAGTCTTCAGAGCAGGATTCCATTGTGTACTTTCCCTGATTCGGAAAGAGCGAAAATGATTAAATTCCCTCAATGCTCTACTCTCAGGGTTCTGATAACCGATTTAGACTTGGAGACCCCTGTTGGTCATGCCTAGTTTCCTAAACCAGCATTCATATTTGGAGATCGCATACCAGTCGATGGTCATCTCACATATGTGGAAGATTCAAAACTACTACGGAGAGTTGATAGTCGCCTTTTATTCCTTCCCAACATGAAGAGGATGTACCCGCTCTCCTACTTTTTGAATGTGAGTTGCCGCCGGGGTTTGGCCTTCGACATAGTCAAGGAGAAGGAGAACGTGTCGCTTGGATTTGGTCGGCAAGCTCGTACACAAATTGGGGGACAACTCAAGGGGTTAAGACCTGATTTGTTTGAGAAGAAGGAGCTGGTTTCGGAGATGTCACGTCCAGCGAACATCTTTATTCACCAATTCCTTGCAATTCAGGGCGAATTCTCTACCCAGACGTTCAGATCCCCTGGATGGGTCTGTTCTGGAGAAGGAGGTTGGTGGACCCGTATGGTTGACTTTGTTCTGAAGGAGTTTAAGGAATCGCTCGCTCAATCGGGTCTCACAATTCCTGTATTAGCTGTTCGACGGGGAGTTGTGCAAAGTTTCCACAATTTCTTCGCTATGTTGGAGAAATATAACCCGGACAGCTGCACATTTTTCACACCTGCAGGAGAGTTAGGTTTTGCTCTTCATGAGATGCAGGTAGTGTCGGGGCTGCTGCTTGGAAAAACGCCCTACGAGGAGTTTATCCCCACCACCGAGGAGCTTTCCTTACTGAAGGTGGCGCACCCGGAAATTTATGCTACTTTCTGGGAATTGATGTGCCACTTCCATATATGTGCCCAAGTCTTTGGGATGCGTGGAGGGGGCATTATTCATACCACATGGGTGGATTACCTCTTTCAAAATTTAAACCGGAAAGATGTAGCCGTTGTTTGTTGGAAATTTGCAGTAAAAAGACAATGAAAGAAAATTTGACTTGTATTTCTCTCAAAATCAATTACAATTTGGATTCCGATTACAAAAGAGAGGAGAATGAATTTGATTCTCCCCTTTGTTTAAAACTGGGTTCTTCTTGGTAGCGATGGAGTGCCTCCTTCGATTGATTATGTCGAACTTGCTCTCCGTTGACGATCCGCACGCCTTGATTCACTGGAACATAGTCTTCTCCTCACGATTCGACGCTGTGGAGAACTTGCGTGGCAAGTTTGAAAATAACTCTTAACGAGTTGATAACTCTGAACGAGTTTGACCTCTTGAAAAAGGGTTGATTTGAACTGAAAGTCGGTTATAAGCCAAGGGAATGCTCCTGTTGCCAATCTTGAAGATGATCTCTGTTGGAGAATGATCCGATCTCCAAGAAATTCCCCCTTTTTGCTGCCAAGTCTTAGATCCCAAAAGCCCTTGACCGAATCTCCCTCTGTTGATGAGATAAAATCCGATCAGAAGCTAGCCGAAGATCTCTTCTTTGCTCCCCCCCCCCAAAAAAGAAGGATCTGCACTCAGTTGAGTTTCCCACTATTTATAGGGGATTAAGGGTGGTAACTACCCCCTTAATCCGCTCCTAAGTGGGGCGGAAATCCCTCAGAACGTGGGATAAACGGTTTTGAGGCCGTTCAACTTGTGTTTGAACAAGTAAAACGCCTAAATTGGCGTTCTGGACCTTAACTCTGCGTCTTAGAGATGAGACGCAGAGTTAAATCTCTGCTAGAGATTGGAAACGCACAGGACGCACGCGCTCTGTAAATTGGAGATGCACAGTTGGGACGCAGAGATGAATTCTGCGTTTTGACATCTGAGACGCAGAGGTGAACTCTGCGTTTTGGCATCTGAGACGCAGAGGTGAACTCTGTGTTTTGGAATCTGAGACGCAGAGGTGAACTCTGCGTTTTGGCATCTGAGACGCAGAGGTGAACTCTGCGTTTTGGACCTGAAACGCAGAGTTGGGTTCTGCATGAACTCTGCGTTTTGGACCTGGAACACAGAGTTAGGTTCTGCATGAACTCTGCGTTTCGAGTTTGGAACACAGCTACGGCCTCTGCGTTTTGAATCTGGAACGCGGGCACGACCTCTGCGTTTTGAGTTTAGAACGCAGGCACGACCTCTGCGCTTTGAATCTTGGATGCAGAGGTGAGCCTTAGGTGGGCTCGGCGAGCTTCAGCCTAAGTCCAATGTTCTGACGAAGTCCGGTCTTGCAGACGGACTTTGGAACATAATTTGCTACGAAGAACAGGTCATAACTTTCAAACCTTAAGTCAGAATTGGACAAATTATATATAAAAATCGGCTATCTCGACGAGACGGGGCCATCCGAACCAAGCCAAATGCTTTGGTTCGCTTCCTCCGTTTCGCCAAATTCCTTACGGTTTGAGAGATATCTGCATTCTAATATGAAGAGACCGTCAATTTGTAGTCTCTTTTGCTAGAGCGTTGCAAAGATCATCACCTTGTAACCTTCATCTTGGCTCCTTGAAAATATGAGAGTCGTCGGATTGTAACTCCCGATGTTGATTGTGAATGCTGTTGAATTAGAGCTTTCATCAGTCGTCGTGAAGGTCGTCAGAT